TACACTACTGAAAATATTGCTGTACAGGTAGTACTGTATGTGAATATTTTTATTCCAAACAGTATGTATGAACAGAATGCAAATCTAGTCAAATAGAAGATCTCACATAAGATATACACTCCTACATAAAATTACAGTTAATATTAGTTGCTTTTTATGTAATGCACCCATCTAGAAGTTTGGTTACAGGTTCGTTTTGAATGGTCTCATGACTGGACTGTGGTCCTCCTGAACACTACAGTGAGAAGCTCCCTGGCCTTAGCAGCAGGAAGCATTCCAGGCTGTCTCATCATACCCAGGGTTGCAGCGAACTCTTCCATAGGCTTGTTTGTGTGTTTATTTAAAATCCTTGGCTGTTCACAAATTAAAATTATGTAGCACACAATGTCAAGTTGTTGCTAATTCAAATCATAGGCTGGGATTGTGGGTGAGGATGCCCTACATAGGACTCTACTGCAGTTTCCGTTTCTCGCTTGTCAGTTTCCATTTCTCACTAGTTTGTTAACTCAAAGGGAGGGGGAGCTTGCAGTGGAGGATGTACCTTCCTGCAGAAGGCAATCAGGGAGATACAAAATCCTACAGGAAGCCCTGCCCCCAGTCGTATGTGGTAGGTAACTCAGGGCAGACCCCAAAAAATTTTTGTGGGAAACTGGATTCTGAGACAACATTTACGTTTGTTTAGTTGACAATTCTAACTTCATCACCTCTATAAACAAGTTTCAGGTCTTAGAGATTTCTTTTAGATCTTTCCATTTTAGCTATTATAGCCATCTTAATGAATTGTGAGGTGGATGTCATCTTTTGCAAGAATCAGTTTGGAATCTCAGGCTTGGAAATTAGGAAAAGAATCCAGGTTTGGAAATAAGTGTATTTTCTCACACTTTGATTTTACTTGAACAACCATAAATTGGAGAAAACTTGCCAATGGCCATTGAAAAAGTTGGTTTATATTATTTTTCAGTGTTACATAAATATTAAAGTGAATTAGACCCCCATTGCTGGTGCAGCTAAGATGCATCTTGCTGCTGCTGTGATGTTTCCCCACTGCCACCCTCCAGCTGGGCAGCAGCCTCCCCAGACACATTCTGGGTTAGCTTTCTTGCTGATTCCATGTGTCTTTCTTGTTGGAAATCCAACCAGGGCCAAGCACATCATTGGGGCCCTGATTGTGCAGATATTTTGGCAACTTCTTGGAAGGTCTTCTTAGAGAAGAAGGCACAATGGAAAATGGTAACTCCTTTAGAATGTCAATGGCTGGAGTTTTTTAAATGAGTGTGTCTTGTATGCAAATGGTTGCTCCTTTCCTCTCTATAAAGATAACACTAAAGTTGTATGTGCCATGTGTGTATTCTGGGAATCTTTTCCTTACTTGCCTTATAAAACACTGTCTTTTCTACCTCTTCTACTGGCTCTGTGGTTATTATCTCCCTGGCTCCACTTCTTCTGCCTGCCCCTCACATGTTGCTGTTTCCCTGGATTCTGCCCATAGCGAGTTATGGGGAGCTTGTCAGGTCAACGTAGAAGGATAATGCTTGGAAACCAAAAAAGCCACCTGAACTTTGTTGGTTGCCCAGATGTCAGCATGTGATAGTAAGCACCACTGATACCCACTCACTGTTGGTTGCCATCTTGCCCCTACTAACCATATAAATGCAATTAGGTGATTGTTCTGGGATAGGTAGCTTCAAGTACAGGGACAAGCTTTTTTTTTTTTTTGTCTTTTTCTTTTTTAGAATCTAATTGCATCCAATCAAAAAGGATATTAATTATGGTAGATTCTGCTTTGTGAGAAAAGTGGTAATAACAACACAGTTGTATTTTACTTTGATACATTAAGTCCTTCATTTTGAAATATAACAGAGCAAAGCTCCTCAATTGTGTCATTGCACACTGTGGCTGAGGGCTCGTTGAGCTAACAGTACCTATCCTGCAGTAGACTTTAGCCTAAGATGTAGTTTTTTTGAACTCCAGACAGAGAGCTTAATTAATATAGAAAAATAAATCACAGTTATGCAGTGACTCTAATACAGATTTCTGTTTCATTACAGGATAATTTATAAATTCAATAAATATTTAAAACAAACTTGTGCTTTGCTTATAAGCTCTGGCTGTTCTCTACGCTTAAAGGTTTTGTGTTGACTGTTAAGAGCTAGTCACTATTGCGTTAATCAACAATAATTTGATGCAGATAGAGGGCTGATTACATTATATGTAAATAATACAAAGCAATAAAAATCAAGACCATGAAATGGGCATGAGAGTGGGATCCATTCATGGTTTAAATAAGTGCTTCAGTGGAATTGCACGTTGACCATCAGCACCAAAGCTTCACTCTTAGAAATTCTTGTAAATAAGAACACAGTTGTTCATTGTCATTTGATTAATCTCTCTTCTATTTAGAACCTTGTGGTGCTAAGAGTAAATAGGAGTACTCAAATCTAAGAAACTGGAGAAATCTGTGGAAAGAACATAAGGAAATGCATATCTTCGTTGTTCAAAAAAAGATTAAATTAGTGATTGTTCCATGATTCACTACTTCTACCATGATTTTGGATAGTTTATTACTAAATCTGGCATGTTAAAAAGTGTGAAACAGAGTTGGATATATTAATGACTGTATATCCATATTAATATATATATATATGTATTTATTGCACTTTAGATTCTGGAGTACATGTGAAGAACATGCAGGATTGTTGCATAGGTACATACATGGCAATGTGGTTTGCTGCCTTCATCCCCATCACCTATATCTGGCATTTCTCCCCATGTAATTCCTCCCCAACTCCCTACCCCTCACTGTCCCACCCCTAGTCCCCGCACCACAGACCTCAGTGTGTGATGCTCCCTGTGTCCATGTGTTCTCACTGTTCAACAGCTGCCTATGAGTGAGAAAATGCAGTGTTTGATTTTCTGTTCTTGTGTCAGTTTGCTGAGAATGATGGTTTCCAGGTTCATCCATGTTTCTAAAAAGGACACAAACTCACCATTTTTATGGCTGCATAGTATTCCATGGTGTATATGTGCCACATTTTCCTTGTCCAGTGTATCATCGCTGGGCATTTGGTTATTTCTTTCACAGATGTTAAAAATATAGATAGCTGCTTCTGTTTTCTAAATGTAATGAAATAGCTGACACAATTTGGAATAGAATATAACTAAAAGATAAACACTTATTGGGATTCTGTTATATTAAATGCAAAAGTAATGATTTTTCACAGTTGAGATAATAAAAGGATAGAAGAGATTGAAGTACTAATTAAAAGTCTTCCAACAAAGAGAAGCCAAGGCCCAGATGGCATCCTGGCTGAATAATGCAAAATATTCGAGAAATAATTAATACCAGTTCTTCTTAGATCCTTCCAAAAAATTGAAGTAGAGGGAATACTTTCAAACTCATGCTATAAGATTACCATCACCCTGACACCAAAACCATAAAAAGGCATCCTCAAAAGAAAGCTATAAGCCAATGTCTCTGATAAATATAGACACAAAACTTCTTAATAAAATACTAGCAAACCAAATTCGGCAACATATCAGAAAGATTATACACTATGACAAAGAAAGATTTACCCCTGGGATACAAGGTTAACTAAACATTTGCAGATCAATCAATGTGATTCATCGCATTAACAGAATAAGAGATAAAAACCACATGATCATCTTAATAGATACTGGAAAAGCATTTGACAAAGTTTGGCTTTATTTTACAATAAAAACTCTCAATAAAATAGGTATAGAAGGAATTTTTTTCAATATGATAAAGAACATTTATGGAAAATCCACAGCTAACATAATCAGTAGTGAAAGGTGGAAAGCTTTTTCTCTAAGATCCAGTGCAAGGCAAAGGTATACCGTCTAAACTCTTTTATTCAACATAGTACTGGAAGTATTATCTAGAGCTATAAGAAAAGAAATATTAATAAAAAGCAACCACATTTGAAGAGAAGAATATTTTTTTTTCGCAGATGACATGATTCTGTATGTAGAAAACCCTAAAGACCCAATAAAAATATTAGAACTAATAAATAACTTCGGTAAGGATATAAATATCAACATAGAAAAATCATTTGCATTTTTATGCAATATCAGTCTCTCTGGAAGAGAAATCAAAAGCAATAATTCCATTTAAAATAGCATCAAAAAGAAAAAAATATATTTAGCAATAAATTTAACCAAGGAAATGAAAGAGCTCTACACTGAAAACTATAAAACATTGATGATGGAATTTGAAGAAGATGCAAATAAATGAAAAGACATCCCATGTTTATTAATTGAAATAATTAATGTTATTAAAATATATATGTGATCTGAAGCAATCTACAGACTCAACGTAATATCTATCAAAATTTGAATGGCATTTTTTTTACAGAAATAGAATAAATGACAATTCTAAAATTTATGGTACTACAAAAGACCCAAAATAGCCAAAGCAATCTTCATATAGAAGAACAAAACTGGAGACATCATATTTCTTGACTTTAAATTATATTATAAATCTGTAGTAAACAAAACAGTATAGTATGAACATAAAACAGACACATAGAACAGTGGAACAGAATAAAGAGCCCAGCAATACACACAAGCAAACAGAGTCAACTAAATTTTGACAAGAGTACCAAGAAGATGCAATCAGGCAAGAATAGCCTCTAAAAATGGTGTTGGAAAAACTGGATCACCATATGGAGAAGAATAGAAATTCACTCTCATCTTATACCAGCACAAACAGCTCAAAATGGATTAAAGACGTAAGTGTACCTTTTACTATAAAAGTCTTAGGGCACAAGTATATGCTCAGTCCCGTGAATTATCTTAGCAAAATAACTGAAACTTGAAGTGATCTGGGGGATCCTAGACACAGACACAGGAACAGAAGAACAAGGTTGTGCTTTTCCCCTTAAATTAAAAAGTTAACCTACATATATCTGAACAATTATTTTGTAAATTCTCATATATAATTGTATTGAAAGATTAGCCACAAATGTTATTTAACATTTCAGGAATAGCACTAAACTATTGCTGAACAGAGATTTGGACACTGAAGTGAAATGGACTGTGAGGTCCTTACTCATTAAGGAAGAAACTCACTGGTCAATGTGGTAAGTGTAGTTTGTATTTTGGATTATATTCTTCTAATTGTGATTGCAGTTTGTATCTTAAAACTTTTCTAGGTTGCACAGTTGATGCATATGACAAAAAAGACAATTAAATGATAGCTGACATTTTAACTGCACCAGGAGCTACACGTGCACTATCTCATGTAGTTTTTCAGCAACCTTCCAGGTTAGACACTACTATAATCTCCAATTTATCAATAAGGACACTGAGGGCAAATGTCACTCAGCTGGTCAGTGATAGAGACAAGTCTCATGGCTAGGCAGTGGATGGCACAGCTCCTCTTATCATCCTGTGACAATTGCTCTGCACTGGGAGGCAGCCATGGCAGCCAGCAGAGATGCTGATGAGGAAGACAAGCTTGCATTATCAATGCTTGTCATTGCAAGACATAAGAGATGCTCTTCCTACTGCTTAGTGGCCGAAGGCTGCCTCTCCTACCTTGAGTGTTCGCGCTGCATGTCTGCAATCAGGAGAAAGAAGCAGACATGCAGCTTGAACCAGCCTACCAACTACAAAAAAAGCCCAAGTCCAGACGGGTTTACAGCCGAATTCTACCAGACATACAAAGAGGAGCTGGTACCACTCCTTGTGAAACTCTTCCAAACAATACAAAAAGGGAATCCTCCCCAACTAATTTTATGAGACCAACATCATCCTGATACCAAAACCAGGCAGAGACGCAACTAAAAATGAAAACTTCAGGCCAATATCAATGATGAACATCAACACAAAAATCTTCAATAAAATACTGGCAAACCAAATGCAACAGCAAATCAAAAAGCTTATTCATCATGATCGAGTAGGCTTCATCCAGGGGATGCAAATCTGGTTCAATATACACAAGTCTATAAACATAATCCATCACACAAACAGAACCAAAGACAAAATCCACATGATTATCTCAATAGATGCAGAGAAGGCCTTCAACAATATTCAGCAGCCCTTTATGCTAAAAACTCTCAATAAGCTAGGTATTGATGGAACGTATCACAAAATAATAAAAGCTATTTATAACAAACCCACAGCCAATATCATACTGAACGGGCAAAAACTGGAAGCATTCCCTTTGAAATCTGGCACAAGACAAGGAGGACTTCTCTCACCACTTCTATTCAATATAGAATTAGAAGCTCTAGCCAGAGCAATCAGGCAAGAAAAATCAATAAAGCGTATTCAATTAGGAAAAGAGGAAGCCAAATTTTCTCTATTTGCAGATGACATCATTGTATATTAACAAGACCCCATCACCTCTGCCCAAAATCTCCTGAAACTGATAAGCAACTTCAGCAAAGTCTCAGGATAACAAATCAACTTGTAGAAATCACAAGCATTTCCATACACCAATAACAGACAGAGAGCCAAATCAAAAGTGAACTCCCATTCACAATTGCTACAAAGTGAATAAAATACCTAGGACTACAAATAACAAAGGATGTAAAGGACTTCTTCAAAGAGAACTACAAACCACTGCTCAGTGAAATAAGAGAGGACAAAAACAGATGGAAAAATATTACATGCTTATGGTTGGGAAGAATCAACATCATGAAAATGGCCATACTGTCCAAAATAATTTATAGATTCAACGCTATCCCCATCAAGCTACCAATGACCTTCTTCACAGAACTGGAAAAAAACATTTCAAACTTCATATGGAACCAAAAGAGAGCCTACATAGGCAAAACAATCCGAAGCACAAAGAACAAAGCTGGAAAGATCATGTTGCCTGACTTCAAACTACACTACAAGGCCACAGCAATCAAAACAGCATGGTACTGGTACCAAAACAGAGACATAGACCAATGGAACAGAACAGAGCCACAGAAGCAACACCACATTTCTACCATCACCTGATCTTTGACAAACCGGACAAAAACAAGCAATTGAGAAAAGGTTCCCTGTTTAATAAATGGTGTTGGGAAAACTGGCTAGCCATGTGCAGAAAGCAGAAACTGGACCCCTTCCTGACACCTTACACTAAAACTAACTCAGGATGAATTAAAGATCTAAACATAAGACCTAACACCATGAAAACCCTAGAAGAAAACCTAGGCAAAACCATTCAGAACATAGGCATAGGCAAGGACTTCATGACTAAAACACCAAAAGCATTGGCAACAAAAGCCAAAATAGACGAATGGGGTCTAATTAAACTCCAGAGCTTCTGTACAGCAAAGGAAACAATCACTAGAGTGAAGGGGCAACCAACAGAATGGGAAATATTTTTTGCAATCTACCCATCTGACAAAGGGCTAATATCCAGGATCTACAAAGAACTAAAACAGATTTACAAGAAAAAAACAAACAAAACCATTCAAAAGTGGATAAAGGATATGCACAGGTACTTTACAAAAGAAGACATCTATGAGGCCAACAAACATATGAAAAAATACTCATCATTGCTGGTCATTAGAGAAATGCAAATCAAAACCACACTGAGATACCATCTCATGCCAGTTAGAATGGCAATTATTAAAAAATCTGGGGTCAACAGATGCTGGAGAGGATGTTGAGAAATAGGAACACTTTTACACTGTTGGTGGGAGTGCAAATTAGTGCCACCATTGTGGAAGACAGTGTGGCAATTCCTCAAGGACCTTGAAAAACAAATTCCATTTGACCCAGCAATCCCATTACTGAGTATATGCCCAAAGAATTATAAATTGTTCTACTATAAAGACACACACACATGTCTGTTCATTGTGGCACTGTTTTCAATAGCAAAGACCTGGAACCAACCTGGATGTCCATCAATGATAGACTGGATAAAGAAAATATGGCACATATACACCATGGAATACTCTGCAGCCATAAAAAAGTGATGAGTTCATGTCCTTTGTGGGGACATAGATGAATCTGGAAACTATCATTCTCAGCAAACTGACACAAGAACAGAAAATCAAACACCACATGTTCTCACTCACAGGCGGGTGTTGAACAACTAGAACATGTGGACACAGGGAGGAGAGCATCACACACTGTGGTCAGTAAGAGGGGGCTAGGGAAAGAAGACTGGGGAGTGGGGATGGTGGGGAGGGATAACGTAGGGGGAATTACCAGATATAGGTGATGGGAGAATGAAGGCAACAAAATACCTTGCCGTGTATGTACCTATGCAAAAATCCTGCATGATCTGCACATGTACCCCTGAACCTCAAGTACAATAAAATAAATAAATAAATAAATAATAAAACTGTTTCTTTAAAGGTGACAGGAAAAAAAGAAAAAAATTGAAGCAGAGTGAGATTATTTGAGCTTATTTTGGAGAGAGTGGGCAGAGACTAATTGGATCAACGTGTAAACTGCCAAGCTTCTGATGCCTCCTCCCTTCACTTGCCCTCTTCTCTCCCAAGCTCAGAAGTAGCTGATGAGGGGTAGTTTGGAGGGAGAAAGAAACACCCCTTATCTTTATCTTCAATCAGCTCCTGAATTATCCTAAATCATTTTCTCTCTTATTGTCCTAACAACACAACTATGACATAAAAATGAAAATTAATTTCCCTTTTATCAAACTACTCTGAAATTTCATTTTCTTCAAGTACCATCTATTTGATTTTGGAAAGACCATCTTAACATGGTTTTGATGATTTAGAGAACACCACAAAGGTGCTTCTGAGGATGGAAAAATTACTCATGAATGTGGACAACTTTAAAATGAGATGTGTAAATTTACCCTGCTATTGCATGTTTTCTTGTTAGGTAGTATTTCTCTCCACATTTGATTTCTTTTCAGAGGTTGTGAGCACTTTAAAGGCTAACTGATGGACTCTGCATGTTGGGAACCCTGGTGAGCATTTTCTGAGAAGGGAAACAGTAGCACAAAGGTTTTATAAATAACATACATGCTCATCTGAGTCTCAGAGTTTTGCCAGGCAACCATGGCAGGATCTCATCAATGACTTCTTCCCTAGAAGCCATCTGGCTTCTCCCACAGTTTCTACAACAAACACTGTGGGGTCCACATGGTTTGGATAGCATAGCAGCATCCAGGAGCCCTCTGATCTGTTTAATCTGTGTCTAGGTATTCGGCCAAATGGCAGCTAACATATCAATGCACACACTTAGTTCTGCAAGTCAGCTGCTCCCCAGTTAAAACAAGGAAGGGAAGAAAAAAATCTAATGATTCGTGTGTTTTAAAAGAAACCTCTTGCTGCTTCTAAAACTGGAATCTATAAGTACATAAGTGTTCCTTCTCATAGCCACTCAGCTAGTACAGAGTGGCGATCTGCCCATGAAATGGCCCATGTAGGCACTGACTATGTCTGTCATTACAGCCTGTAGTAGGTAGAGAAGCAGCAAGTGTTGTCAGATGTTGAATTAAAAATAAAAGCCTTAGTGCTTTGAATTAGAGAAAGCCTGTGTTTATAGGCCACCCCTTAGATGTTGAAAGGAATAGAGAATGAACAGTGGTTGGCAATGTCAAATAGAGATATAACAGTGAGTCTGGGGGTTGGGAAATGTAGTATTATTACTATCATCCTGTCTAGATTGAGCACATGTATAAAAAGTTACAGCCTTAATATACCAAATATTCAATCTTTAGTATTGGTATTCTACAAATTACAAGGGCTATATTTCCTTTCCCTGCCTCTTATTAGCATCTTTGCCTTGGGGAGGATATATAATTTCGAGAGTCATTGGCTTTAAATAGTGTTCAAAGTCATGAGACTAAGGAAAGAAAGTAGAGAAAGAAGGCAACCGAGGACTGAACCCATAGCAACAGCAACATTTATGACTTTATTGAAAATGACAAGTCAGGAAAAAAAATCTGGTTAAACAACCAGTGAGGTCAAGGGGAATTTAAGGCATGTGGTGGCAAGGAAAACAGAGAGCACTATCCCTGAAAAGATTCACTGAACACGCACCTGCACAAGAAATTGACTAAGCACCTATGACGTCCTTGGGATTCAGAAATGAATAAAATAAAGAAAATCTCTGCCGTCATGGAGCCTATGTTAACCAGAGACAAATAACACAAAATAAA